AAGAATAATTCAATTTTATAAAAAAAAAAATTGTTATTTTTTTGTCCTGAGTCTACATTAGGATGTTCATATGTGCCGTAGGTGCATTATCGTACATATTAGGTACATTTACCAAAAAGAGACTAGTTCAGACATTGGTCTTCCCTATCTTCCTCTATGGTGCAGAGTCGTAGACTATTAGAGCCTTAGATCGCAAAAAGATAGATGCTCTCGAAATGTGGTGTTGGCGAAGAATGCTCCGGATATCATGGACTGCCAGACGAACAAATAGGTTAATCCTGGAACAGCTCAATATAAAGACTAGACTGTTGACCGTATCTTACCAGCGAATGCTTGGATATTTCGGACACATTGCCCGCCGCCAGTCAGATAACCTCGACAAATTGGTTGTTGTTGGTAAGGTGGAAGGAAAAAGACCACGTGGCTGATCACCTAACCGATGGTTTGACCAAGTTGCCAACTACATTGGACTCTCTGTTACGAAAGCCCTGCAAGTAGCCGAAAACAGGACAAGATGGAGGGAAATAACACAGAGAGCAATGAAAGCCTCTCAGGGGCACGACCTTCAGAAATGAAGCAAGCGATCGAGAAGAAGATGGTACATTTAGACCCACAACAGTCAGTTGCCAAATTTTTGATACTAGGATTTTCTCCTGTGTCGTGAGTGCGTTTACAAACATACAAGTTCACATGCACATACCACCCAGACGCAAAATAACAATTTGTGGAACACACAAACAGTTACTCCGTCTAGAAATCGAACCCGCGATACGTTGGGCGGCATCTATCGCACCAACCATGCAGTATTATTCTAAAAGATAATCAAATCCTAAATACCCATTAATTAAATTATAGATAAGTACTTCATAACTCGGGAAAAAACGATTACGTATGTACTACAGTAATGAATTGATTAAGTGGAAAGTACGTTTGAAGATAAGAAGAAGAACTGGATTTTCAGAGGGAACTACGTCTAAGTTTCTAGATTTACTATGAATCACAATTCATTTATTGTTCTGGTATTGAAGGTGACTAGAAGTTCACATTTTTACATTAGTTTACGTCAACAGTCCACGCAGTACTAGTAGGTGTTTCGTATAGGTAGTTCTAAAACTATTAGAATATCTTTTTGCTAGTTTTTTCACATAGTAAAGAAATTCTATCCGTCCTCTGTTTACAAATAATTTATAATAATACATTTCTAAAGATGGTGATATTTAAAGATACTAGGTAAGTACCATTTTATTGTCCATCTCCAAGAAATGTTACAACATAATGGGATTTGACCAGTCATTCATACAATTTGAATTTCAGAACATTCTGATTGTGGGTAGGGTTTAAAATCCATTACCATTACCATTTAAAAAAATATCATTTTTTAAATCACTACATAGTATAAAACAAAGTTGCCCGCCCGCCGTCTGTCTGTCCCTATGTACGCTTAGATCTTTAAAACTACGTAACGGATTTTGATGCGGTTTTTTTTAATAGATAGAGTGATTGTTAATGAAGGTTTATATGTATAATACATGCATATTGCACCTGTGCGAAGCCGGGGCGGGTCGCTGGTATAGGATGCCATTTGTCCTTTGTTAAATATCATCATAAATTTATATCACATGCAAACTTCTAGGTAAATTTTACTAACCCACTTGATTCACACTTAGAAGAGAAGTGTTTTTAAGAATTTCGATATTTAAACAATGACTAATTGACTGTATCATTGGTTGAGTGGTTTCAAGTATGGCTGCCGTGAAAGGGGTCTCAGTATTGATTCCTATGTCCAACGAAGTATTAAGTAAGAGTTATTTAAATTGTTCCTGAAATTGTGCTCGGCGTATGGTATAAATTATAGGTAAAATCACCGCTATTGCATGAGGCATTTAATATAACTAGTGGAAGTTGATGTGCTGCCCTGCCTACTTCTTCGGAAATCAAAAAACATGACGATATGATTACTATTATCATCGTGTATTCCCTAACTTCATAATTAGTTAGATCTGGGAAGAGGGCGAGTAGTCAAAAGTGTGCGACAGCCATGTTTCGGCATGAGCGGACCGGCTTCAGTGTCCGAGTGATACCACGGCCTTACAGAAAACCGACGTGAAACGACACTTGCCTTGTGTTTTGTCGTGTGAGTGAGGTTACCGGAGCCTCAAATTGTCTCCCAATCCCCGAATCCCTAACAATCCTCAAATTCCTAATCCCCAATAGGCCGGTAACGCATTTGTAACGCCTCTAATGTTTCGGGTGTTCACGAGTGGCCCCGATTGCTTACCATCAGGTGATCTGTCTGCTTGTTTTCCGACTTATCCTAGTAAAAAGCGAAGCAGTCATGTTAGCTAAGGAGGAGGCGGGGCGTGTGAGGCAGAGAAGCGCTCGTACTGCCTCCTCACAGCCCAGCCGTCGCGAAGGGCACTCCGAGCGTCGGAGCCTGTGGACGGCGATCATGGTTAGCTCGCCGCCGACCAGAATCTGACCTGCGCGTACAGTACGCCGCGTTTCGCACGCGCCTCAAAGAGCCTTTAGACTACCACGGATGGGGCCCAATACGGAGCCACGGGGGACTTAACGGGCTGCCGGGGCTTCAATTCGAGGTGCAGGAATAGGAACGGGGTGGTTTTAGTCAGTAAGAGTCTGTCACTCCCTCCCGCTTCGCCTAGGCGGGAGAAGAGACGCGATGATTTTAACCCTTAAAAAAATCCAGTAAAAAGAAAATGTCAGGTACGTAATTATAATTATGTCGAATATTATCAGAAACAATTGTTTTACATCAATGTTGTATGAGATTTCTAATTGTGACGTCATTTATTTTTCTTTGCTAATCTTAAACCAATAACTGCCTCGTTGGCCGAGTGGTCGCAAGTGCGACTGGCCTGGCAAGGGGTCTCGGGTTCGATTCCCCGGTCGGGCGAAGTATTGCTGGGTTTTAAAAAAAAATCTCAGTTAACACGGAGTCTGGAATTGTGCCCGGTATATGGCATTACATTTAACTAATTAATGAGAGTATCGTTATTTTTAAATTTAAATACTTTACTAACATAGTATAAATCTGAAGAGTTTTGTTATTTGTTTGTTTGTACGCGCTAATCTCTGGAACTGCTAGTCCAATTTGAATTTTTTTTCTGTTGGAAATTGCTTTTATCAAGGAAAGTTGTAAGGCTAAAACATCACGCTGTTTCCTCCGCGATTTCCCCCGTAGTAGAGCTTCGCCCAATGAGAGCTGTACCACGGGGGAAATTGCGTGGGATTAGCGAGTATTCCAATAAAATTAGTGCACACTATTTAGTTTTGGCGATCATCATCATCATTCCAATTCATTTGATTGCTCGGAGACGGTACTCAAATAATAAAATTCATTCAAATGTAGCTACTAGCAGCGACATCTATGGAACAAAGAGAAGACTACAATGACAACCAAGCCTTGTAGAGTTTTGTGTGAAGCGCTTTAAAATTAATTAGGTGTACCTTTACGGTATGATATCACGTTGTACGTGGTTACAACCCATAATTGTGACATGGAAACTTGAACAGCTGTCCAATAGATGTCACGTTATATGAATAATATGTATAAGTACATCATTTTAGTTCTATTGTTATGAAGGGGCGTATGTCTCTTAATACTGAATTATGACTGAATTTGTTTCGATGATTCTTCTCAGATTATTTAGTTAGGGCAAATCGGTTATATTTGAGGTACAAAATTGTTATTTCGTAGATACCCCTGTTTCCGGAATAACTTTCATTTTTGTGTCAAAACCAATTATGTTTTGTTAAATATGACTGTCTCTCTAAATCTGTCTGTTCTAAAGTTATCACAGTGTTGGAAAAAGGTCAGATAGAGAGAGACAGAGAGAGAGAAAGAGTTTTTTATATGATTATTGAGATATATCTCTATCAAAAAAAAAACATTTCGATATAATTTTAGAGATTTTAATTATCATGTACCTAATTGGATTTTCTGATTCAATTCATATCTTAATCGAACTACTTAAATAAAGGTATTTCCACGCTGATAAATAAGATTGATACTGGTATAGGTAATTCCCAAGTATTGATCACAATTGTAATTACAATAATAATAAGAAGTTAAGAAAAAATGTGGCACTAAATATCTGAATTTAGTACTTCTTAGGGCCGATTTTTCAATCATCAGTTAATTCTGATCTGTAGAATAAAATAGATATTTGACAGTATTTAGTATGAAGGATTGTTAAATCTTCCAAGTTATTTCTCAGTTATAATTTATCAGGCGTTAAAATTCGGCCCTTAAACTGTCAAACACCGAGCGGTCACCGGTGACCGCAACCTATTGTTCTTTAATTGTGTCTATAAATACGGTACTCGACGAGTTAAACTAATACTACTATAACAATGACGATGGAGTTTCTTGCTCGTTGTTCTTTATTCGAAACTAATAAGTCAATTTGTCGTTTCAAAAATTCATAATCAAGGAATAATTGAAATAAATGCTTTGACTTTGAGTTTACTATTATGTATTATGTAGGTAACTCTAATGCTTATTTTTTTAATCATGGTCTATAAAGCTCCAGTATGTTTAATAATTGACTTGCACTAATCAGAAGTTTTATTTAATCATACAAAGGTATGAGTTAAAAAATCTGTAATGTAGTAAGTAATGTAGTAAAGTAGAACACTTTTGTTCTACTTTATGTTTGAATCTAACTTATTGGTTTAGTATTTTTTCCCACGTTAACTAATATAACTTCTGAATCATAGTCAAATGCCTTTTAGTACCTAAATTCTTTTCTTTTACGATATTTCACGTTCAATGTATTATTTATTTACAAATCAAAAGGACTTAAAAGTAATGAGGAGTTCCGAACCGTTTTCAGTTTATATTGGAACTCTTATAGTAGATATAGTTACATACTACAATTAACTACACTTCAAACATTATAGGTATAAAAGAAGTCCAATATGGCAATAAAAACAGAATTTTTAAGAAAAACTTAAGTATATATATTTGTTTAGAATAATTATATGTGTTGGTTGAAGAAGTCGACGAAAGATGTGACACGGGCAAAAGCTGCAGGCAAGCTAGCTTGGCAACCAAGAGCGGATCCGAAGGAGGTAACACCAATCTGAAGATAGAAAACACAAACTTAGAATTATTTTGTCAAAACACAGAAGATAGAGGTTTGCCGTGGACCTTCCAACGGAGTTCCAACTTAATATAAACTCAAAAATGTTCCTGTTAATTCACGAAACAGACGTACAATCAAAAACACGTAGTTTATTTAAAAAAATAAAATAAACAAACAATTCTTACCAAGACAGGCTCGTTGTTAATAGTAACAGCCAGAGGGCCACCAGAGTCACCCCTGCAGGTGCTGGAACCACCGAGACCGCTGGTGCAGATGTTAGAGGATTGCAAGATCAGGGGGAAGGCGTAGGAGCAAACGTTGTTGGAGATAACGTTCAAGCTAACGTGGCTCAGGTACTGGTTGGTTGAGATAGATCCATCTATAAAGAAAATTGACGTGTTAGTTTTAAACACCTGTAATGTTTCAGTCATTATTGTTCTTATAATCCAATCGATTGATTTGTTTGAATTTGAACTGCTTGTAGATTCTTAAGACTGGATTCTTAATGTTACGAACCATAAATTCTTAATACTTTTAATGTTACCAACAGGACTAACAGAACTTTATCAAATATAACAAAAATTAATATTATATTGTAAATACTGTCATAGAACTTACCGTCACGGGTCAAACCGAAACCAGAAGCAACGGCGGTGGCACCGACGAAGTTATTGTTCAGTTGATCACCAGATGGCAGAGCAATGGGCTTGATGGAGTCTGAAATATAATAATTATATGACGTTTTAATTATGTGGTCAAATATCTATTCAAATGACTCTTCGATTGTCGTCTCTAAGGTAGTCATATAAATATTATTTTTTGTTTGACTCACCTGAGAATTGAACTGAGATAGGTAGGTAGATAACACCAACGTCGTTGCGGGCAAGCAGTGGCTGCCAGTTGGGGTGAAGGATGACAGCGCTGGTTTCAATCCTGGTGCCGCCAAAGAAGAGTGTGTTGGAACCAAGAACGACGTTGAAAAGCCAAGCCTGGTTCACACCATCAAACCAACAGTGGGCAGCAGTGATCACTCTGTTTGCACTGACGAGGGAACCTCCGCACACACCGGTGCCAGAGATACCAGCGTAGGAAGCGAGAAGACCAGCCTATAAAACATAAATAAATTGTTTAAGCTTATGGAAGTAGTAATTAAGTAATCTTTTAAAAAATGACGTAAAGTAATGACGTAAATAAAATTATCTGTTTTACAGCCAAATTCTAAATTAGCAAAACGATTGTGTCAGTTGATGTATTTCGTTGATTAAGACTGAGTTAATTAGGAACTTTCATAGTTAATTTTAAGGTTTTGTTTAAATAATGGTTGTAGGTAGTATTAGGTACGATGGGGTTGGCGTATCCTCATGGATAAAAACCCCGTATTAATTAAATGTAGAATAAAAAAAACCATTTTTTTAAGGAAACATTATATAACATAAGATCACGTCTTATATTCTGAGATTTTTAAAAAACCCAGTAATACTTTTACTAACGTGGGAATCGAACCCAAGGCTCCTTGCCCGGCAGTCGCACTTGCGACCACTCGGCTAATGAGGCAGTCTTTTTTAAGAAAAATGTGATTATTTTGAATACAAATCGGAAAGGTTATTTCAAGATTAAAGTAATTCAGTTATGATAAATTATACACAACGCTAATACATTAAGTGTACACTAACCTGGTAGGGGAATTGACCCTCACTAGATGGGGATCCACCAACAATTCTTTGCTGGCTCATCTGTTCCTCAGCTTTGCGGATCTCTTCTGCCAATGGGATGGCATATTTCTGGATGTAGCCAAACGCGGTGTTACCGTCAAGGGCGGGTTCTACGTTCGCGTAGGCAAGAGTCGCCAAAGCTAGGACAAGGAAGACCTTCATGGTGATACTTAAAACAATCACTGAGCAATAACAAGATTGTCGAAGTTAGTATTTATATTAAATCGTTAACAGATTAAGCTGGACCATTACGTAAAGAATCACGTCATTATTAATATCAAATAAGGCGAAGTTCTCTCGAATTGAATCTTACGTTTATGGTTATTTGATTAATTAAGGAGCATACAAAATAATTATTAAGTAATCAGAAATGTTATCTAAAACAACAGAAAGTAACTACAATGTTATCTAAAACAACTGAAAAACACATAAAAATTTCCTATTGAATAAAAAAGATCTAATGACTTATCATAATCAACAGCTGGCAGATGTCCACTGCTGGACGGACTACCGCTGTTATTATAATACATACATACATAACATCACGCCTTTTATCCCCGAAGGGGTAGGCAGAGGTGCACATTATGCCACTGTACAATGTAACACCCACTTTTCACTATTTATGTTATGAGTCCCATGTAATAGGGGGTGAGCCTATTGCCATATACCGGGCACAATTCCAGACTCCGTGCTACTACTGAGAATTTTTTAAAAACCCAGTAATACTTTGCCCGACCCGGGAATCGAACCCGAGACCCCTTGCCCGGCAGTCGCACTTGCGACCACTCGGCCATCGAGGCAGTCACTGCACGAGACTGCACGGTTGGTGCGGTGGCTGGGCAACCGGCTACCGTGCAACGTGTCGCGGGTTCGATTCCCGCACGGAACAACACTTTGTGTGATCCACAAATTGTTCTTTCGGGTCTGGGTTTCATTGTGTATGTGAACTTGTATGTTTGTAAACGCACGCACGACACAGGAGAAAATCCTAATGTGGGGCAACGTTTTTGAAAAATAGAAAAAAAATCTAGATTTTGATAAGTCGTGTACGTTCAACTAAAATACGTTGATATTTTTTGTCGTTCCATGTTATCATTGAAACATATATACTTACTTTGTTTTCGTGCGCACTCCTATATAGCTTTCATGTCGCCGTCCGTGCCTCTTTTTCGCAAAATTTTAGTTGCGTTGTAAAAATGCAAGATTTTGCGCATTATGTTCTTTTTGTATTTCTTTTGATTCATGCCATGTAGTCTTCCAATTAATTTCACAATCTATTTGACATCATACAAAATAAACTTTATCTTAATACTTTGTTTGTGATTTCCTAATTAACTATTTAAATTAATCTAATCTGCTACTATGCGACTCAATTGTAATCTGCAATTATCATTAGTTATACCTACATACCTACGTATTAGTATTATGCTTTATACAATTCTTACAATTATACATGTAAATATCAGCTTAGTGTTAGTATGGATAAATTATGTGACATAGGAATACTTTTTTGGTGTCATGATTACAATTGAAAATCAATTACTTTAATATCATTCAGTCCAACGGCGTTAGGTCCATCAAATTTTTAATCAACTTATAATCATTTTATTTGTATTTACTAGTGGAGAAAGTGGTTATTTGTAATAATATCTACTACCTAAAAAGTAAAAGTAATATTATTTCTATTGATATTATCTATAAAACACGTGTTTTTAGCAATCCTGTGTTATCTATATCCCGGAAAAGATACATAACTAATTATATTTTTATTACGATATGCCCATCGTTTTACGTATTTAAATATTTTTTTACGATAAAAATTAATTTTATTTTCAATTTAATAAAATAATAATGCATGAGAAAAAATTGATTTGATGTGGTTAGGGACCTTTGCCCTTGTGGATCGATCATGGTTGAAAAGCATACGAAGTCCCATTATAAAAGTCGTTACCTAGAAATTACAAGGGGATAGCTATATTCAATTGTGAATGTCTTGTCACTGATACGATGACGATCGTTTTCAGATATATAAAAACAAAAATATTAAAATAACATAACACTACATCTCCAAGAGATGGTTGGGAGTAGTGCCTATCCCAATCGTATCAGTTAACTGCAGTTTCAGGTTGTACATGATTATGCTTCACTCAGGTAGGTACTATGTAGATATATCGGTTGTTTAATGTTCAAACAAATAAAAATTAGTTTCTTCTATTTGAACAATCTACGAAGAACGTAGAAAGAACGCATAAAAGTATAAATATTATGGTCATATGGTTTTTTTTTTCAAGGAGGGAATATCATCGAATGATTTCTCCCGCGTGGGTGAGGCGGGAGGGAGTTTCAGACTCTTTTAGTGTTTCTACTTTCCCCGTTAGTGAACCTATTTATTAATGTTGTTACAAATCAGACAGAATCAGGGATATTTTTCTGTGCCATGACATTCCACTGCTACTGCTAGACTATCATATTTATGGGTTTTTTTTAAATAAAAGGTTTGTCTTCCCATTAAGACAGGCAAAACAAAGATTGTTGATTAAGAGCATTTAACATAGCATTGCTGCCTCGTTCCTTTAGATAAAGCTAGAATAATAGAAGTGCTGACCAATTGATACTACTTTGTCGCCATCACAGGTTTTGGATCACAATTTTATACAACTCGTTGATTCAAAGTTAATAAGATGAACTTTTCCATTGTTAAAATTCTCAAATAGAACTGTACACAGTTTATATATAGTATTAGGAATACAGCTTATGAATAGTAGGTCTGTGTTATGATGTACGTCAACAGTGGTGGCTGTTAACTGATGATGGGATAATCTGATTTCTAATTGATAAATTAGTAATTTTTTTTTAAACGTTGCCTCACAGTGGGTTTGTCTACTATGTCGTGGGTGTGTTTACAAACATTACATACGAGTTCACATACACATGACACCCAGACCCGAAAAAACAATTTGTGGATCACACAAAGAGTTGTTCCGTACGGGAATCGAACCCGCGACACGTTGCGTGGCAGCCGGTTGCTCAGTCACCGCACCAACTATGCAATCATATATGACATCATTTTGTTTCATTATCAGATTTTTTACAGCATTTGTCTAGATTACGGTCGTTATTATATTATTATGTTAAATCTTTACTAAAGATGGAAAGTGGTAATTATCGGCATCAATTTGTTTCGATTTGTATTATGCATCTATATGGTACATTTCAAAAATGTATATTGTAAAGGTTGTTAGCAAACAGTATAACTAAGCAGCTAAGCTTAGAGTAATCATCTTAAATGTAGATAAATGTCCAATACATGGATAAACAAAATATTATTAGGCTAGTACTAATCTCGGTACCCGAGCGTATGGCGCGTCGCGTTCCGCGCGCGCCCCAAAGAGCCATCAGACCATCACGGATAAGGCCCAATAGGGCTAATGCCGATACGGAGCCGCGGAGAACTGAACGGGTTACCGGGGCTCCGGCTCGAAGTGCAGGAGTAGGAACGGGGTGGTTTTTAGTCAGTACCTAAGAGTCTGACACTCCCTCCCGCCTTCACCCAGGTGAGAGAAGTCATTCGATGATTTTTCCCCATTAAAAAAGTACTAATCTCATTCCATTTGTAAAATCAGTAGACGGGAAAAGAATAAAACGATTGAAATAAAAAAAGTAGAAATGTTTAATTTTATTATTTACAGGAACGACTATAAAATGATTGTCAGCCTTTTTTTAATCCTTACGGTGAAGGAATTTAAAATACATAATTAATATGAAAATATTGTTCATCCCGTTGTATGTAAACGTTCGTGAAAAAGATGTAAATTTTTCTTTAGGTGATAATATTTTTAGTAATTTTTTTAAGAAATTATCGGTGCTGGTTGATGAAGCTGGCGAAGGAGGTAACACGGGCGAAGACTGAAGGCAGGTTGATTTGGCAGCCGAAAGCGGATCCGAATGAGGTAATACCAATCTGTAAACATAATGGGCAATTAATATTTTGATAAACAAATACGACTAAGCTAAAACATTGTGCTCAGATTATACAATACTATAGTTTAAGTAGTGGTATACCCAGACAAATCTTTTGACAATTATTTGAAAACATCTATAAGGTGTCAGATTTTTTCAAATCTTATTTAATCTTTTCAATGATCGGCTTTTTGTTACATATCACATTCTTTTTTTAATCAAATTATTCAAGCTGTTACTGCAGCATGCTGTTAATTTCTTAAGTGTTACGTAAATTTATAAATGAATGAAATGAATAAATAACCAAGTATGTCTTGAATAAAAAAAAAGATAAATGGAAAGGAACACTTACCAAAACATCCTGTCCATTCTGGCTAGCTACAAGAGGACCACCAGAGTCGCCACTGCAGGTACCAACACCTCCAACACCACTGGTGCAGAGGTTGGAAGGCTGGACAACGAACGGGAAGGCGAAGCTGCAGGCACTGTTGGCGATGACATTCAGGCGAACGTGGCTCAAGACCTGGTTGGAGCTGATGCTTCCACCTAAAATTAAAATAAAGATTCAGTAAAAAACCTTTAATAATAGGTTTCGTTTTAACTTTGTTAATAATAAAGTTAACGTGTGTGCTAGCCTTATGAGTTGTAACTAAGGTTTTTACATATAACATCATAACATCACGCCTTTTAACCTCGAAGGGGTAGGCAGAGGTGCACATTATACCACTGTACAATGTAACACCCACTTTTCACTATTTATGTTATGAGTCCCATGTAATAGGGGGTGAAGACTAAGGTTTTTGATTTGGCTTATTCATATCATTATGTCATTAGAGCAAAAGCAATCAAGATAACTATAATACCTATTTCAAAATATCGTGCATTCACAATTATTATTTGAAATATTTTATTCAGCTACAGAAACGAATAACAACTAAAATATAAAACATCTAGAAGTTTCTGTTACAAATTAAAATTTTAACGATATTGTATAATGGCTAAAATTCTAAGTAAATACATACCAGAGCTTGTTAAACCAAAACCAGATGCGATGGCTGATGCACCAACAAAGTCTGAGGATCCGGAGGCAATAGCAATGGGTGCGATGTTGGCTGAAAATGCAAAAGACAAAAACAATATAGACATTGTAAAACATGTTATGTAATATTTATTGAATGGTAAAGCTAAATAAATTATTTTTTTTTTTTTGCTTTTAATTTTTTGTATGACTTTGTTTACAAAATTTTGTTTAGCTAAGTAACTCAATATTATTTTTAAAACTGAATAAGATAATTCCGCTTTTATGATTACTTACCGGACAACTGCACAGCTTGGGGCAAGTAGAGTACACCGACGTCATTACGGATAAGAGCTGGACTCCAGTTCGGGTGCATGGCCATCACACTAGTCTCAACCCTGGTACCGCCAGAGAAGAGAGTTGTGGAGCCGAGAACAACAGTGACCCTCCATGCTTGATGCACACCATCGAACCAGCAGTGAGCAGCAGTCACCACCCTGGAAGCGCTGATGAGGGAACCACCGCAAACACCGGATCCATCGAAACCGATGATGGAGATGAGAAGACCAGCCTTGAAATTGAAAATACGGTTACCGAATGTTATTTTTAACACATTATTACAACAAACAAAGAATATGGTTTAAGGAATATCAAAGTTTTAATTTTATTATCATTCAATAAATCATCTTCCAATAAGTATCTTGAAAGAAATAGAGTACTATTTATTTTATTTTTTTTAGACATAATAAAATATATGCAATGCGTTGTATTTATGGAACACAAAGATACATAATTATAAACAAACCTGGTATGGGTATTGTCCTTGTCCAGCGGGAACACCTCCAACAATTCTGGAGTGACTGAGTTTCTCCTCAGCAGCCTTGATCCTCTCAGCCTCAGGAATACCATACTTCACCAAGTAGCCCCATGCGGAGTTACCTGGGTACTGAACTTCTCCCGCAGAGACCAAACTGGCCAAAGCCAGGCAGACCACAATAAAAGCTTTCATCTTGGTCACGGGCTGAACTAGATGCAAAGTAAATCCTTTTTTTATTATATAGTGGTAATATAGATAATAAATGTCAAGTTGACGCAATTAATTGGTGATAATGATTTGATAGGTGTACGACAATTATCAAACATTTTCAGTGATTAGTATTTGATTATCATGTCGAAATCTCAGAGCACCTTCAGATTAACATTCGCTACTGCATTAAAAAGTGATATGGATTTTAACCGATAAATAAAGGGTTTTTCCTTGCCTTTTAAGGTAAAAATGTTAAAAAATAATACGGTTGGTAAGGTTTTTCCAAGATCGCTTCCTATTACCTTGTTGACACTATCATATCAGTAGAATGATCAATTATAATTGCAAATAATACCAAATATTGGATCACATCATCATCAATATTGACTAAGAAATTAGATCTGATTTTAAGTGTGGGAGAGCCATGCTTCAGCACGAATGGGCCGGCTCGACCAGAGTGCTACCACGGCCTCACAGAAGACCGGCGTGAAACAACGCTTTCGTTTTGTTTCGTCGTATGAGTGAAGTTGTGAGATCTGTCTGCTTGTTTACCGGCTTATACAACAGAAAAAAATATTGATGTGGTTATCTCATACGAGTATGAGTTGGATGAAAAAAACCAGCAAATGGCGCGAAAATTTTTAGGTTAAGTTAAATTTAAAACTTTTGAAGTACAACCTCCGGGCTAGAACTTACTAAACTTTATTTAAATTTAAGATTATAATACACCAAAGATTGGTTAAATACAATTGAAAAGAGAAAAATCCATAATATGAAGTACTCAAATTATGACCTTTTTAACGAGAAAAATTATATTGCACTCTTCTGGTTTTCACGCCCTGACGTAGTGTACATTGAATTTCACAATGATAATGCAAAATGCTTTATCTTAATAAGTACAACTAATACCTAAAAAAGAATGGGTGTCTTGGCAACTCAGTGTAGATACTTATCGTATCCGTTGCAACGTCATATTGTATTGTATCTGGACAAAAAATCATCCGATAGCCTAATTAAAGACTACACAGTAGAATGTATCTGAGATTTTTAGACCACCGTCCACTTTACCAGCATAATAATAATTTGCTCACTCAATCTGCCACAATGCATTTGTTCCAGGAGTGATTTTCAGTGACGTCTATCTCGTGTACTCAGAGACAATAAAATTCATGATAACTTAAGCTACACTTTAGGCTCGGTTTAGACTCGCGCTGTCCGCAAGCTGATCGTCGGTGCTTATAGCCGAAACATATGAACTTCTATAAAGCGTTTTAAAATAACGCATGGGTCTCTCAGCGCTGACAGATAAATCTACGGTTTGGATGTCGTCTGTCAAACTATACGCTGAGCTATTTATGAGCACTAACGATTTGCGTGAGACAAAAATCAGCCTAAGTAACATGTTTTTGTGCTTAAAATGACTTCTAGAAAATACAATAACGCCTTTAAAATGATATCTCAATTACATCGGTGGAACACTCCTTAAAAATGTTCGAGAAGCGAGCGTCATGAATTCTAAGATAAATAAATCACGATAAAGGTACAGATAAAACATAAACATAACCTCAAAAAAATGTACACACTAATTAAATATTACCTTTTAAAGCGATTTTCACAGATACGTTCGAATTCACAGCAACTACTCTATACAATTGAAATCACTTAAGATTGTCTTTTAAATAGTCATAGATTACACTTTAAAAAAATATATGAATAAACAGTACTTGTTCTCTCTTCAGAATGCTTGATAATATTTTATCTATCTATTGAAATATCTTCAACGATATTTACAAATACTAATATTTATCAGATATTTATCGGCCAACTATTCAGTTCGTCTTTGTGTTTTATTAAAAAAAACTATTGAGGTTGTACTAAGTAAACTGTTATGTTGACTTTTTGAATAGATATTCTATTAGTAATGTAAATTATTTATTATCACAATATTGTAGGATTGTTCTCTAATTGACAGCCTCGTTGGCCGAGTGGTCACAAGTTCGACTGCAGGGCAAGGGTTCTCGGGTTTGATTCCTGTGTCGGGCAAAGTATTACTGGGATTTTTTAAAATTCTCAGCAGTAGCACGAAGGCTGGAATTGTGCGCGGTATATGGGAATAAGCTCACCCCCTATTACATGGGACTCATAACATAAATAGTGAAAAGCGGGTACTACATTGTACAATGGCATTATGTGCCTTAATGTGCTCTGCCTACCCCTTCGGGGGTATAAGGCGTGATGTTATGTTATATTATGTTCTCTAATTGATGCAGTAAATGGAAATGTTATTGATTTTTGCAAATAAGTACTTTGTATACTATCATCACCACTTCTTATATTACTATTCAGTACAATACAATTAAAATAGTAGATTTATCAAAAGAGATTTGATTAAAACACTTTTGAAATACTAATCATAGCTATAGCTATGTGCGTATGTATAAATTTATTTCAAATTGGTGTTTAATGCTAGACCACAGAACATATTTGAATCATGTTTCGAAATCCAATAAAACCCATAAACATACTGGTTTTCAGTTTATTTGATTGTAATCTTATAAAAAAACTTAAATTTTTTGTTTTCCTTAAATGTGACTGTTGATGAAATCCATGAACGAAGTAACACGTGCGTATGCACTAGGCATGTTACTGTCACAGCCAAGTCCGTGGCGGAACGACGTAACTCCGATCTGAAAATAAATGAAATTATTAGAACAATTGTAAGTAATTATAATGACGTCAGACCGTAATATCCTTCGCCATTTATTCAGAGAAACTGTAAGCTAAGATGCAAAGTCGCTTTCCGAATTTTACGTGGTGTATAGTGGTCAAAGTCGGCCCATCAAATATTTAAATATATTTAAAAAAACGTTGAGTTCTGGTTATAGATAGAGAGTGGGTAATTCACTTGGCAATCTAGTCTCTATTATCCAGAATTTCGAATATCAAAAATTTAAATTAGGCTTTGCTTGAAACAAGAATCAAATAATATGAGCACTCAAGCCATATAATTTAATTGACAATAATAGTTGTTATTTGAGCATTGAAAATCTATTTGTCCTAGTTATAAAATAATTCATCCATACCAATACGTGTCTGTTATCCCTAGTGATAACAAGAGGTCCACCGCTATCACCTCCACAAATTCCTACAGAACCGAGTCCACTTGTGCAAATATTAGAAGATTGCAAGACGAGAGGGAAGGCCCAGTTGCACTCGCTGTTTGAGATGACACTCAAACTGACGTGGTTCAGATTCTGGTTTGAGCCAATGCTACCATCTGAAATTAAGATTGAATAAATTTAACAAATGACTAAAACACGCTGTAATCTGTTGTTGTCTATCTCTAAGCCTTCCGTATATTTTTAATGCGGAACTGATATTAGTAATTAGGTATACCTACTACAAAATTTATCAAACTTTTCATAACTAGAATTACTAATAATACTAAGCCTAAAATGTTTGTGTAGGCAGATTGGAAAAAAAATATTGACATTACTTACCGTTGGTGGTAATACCAAACCCAACAGCTATAGCTCTTTCTCCCACAAAGGCTTCAAACAGTTGAGATCCGCTAGGTAAAGCTACCGGTGCAATATTGGCTGTAAAGAAATACAAATCTTATTTCAATGTAATAAATACAATAGCTACATGGATGCAATAAACAATCAAAATGGTGTAAGACTTTATGAGTACTTAGTGTTAATGTTTCCAAAAAGTTATGATAGAAAAAAGGTTCCTTATATTTAATTCTGTTCGTCGAAAATATTACAAAATGGTTTCACTTACCTGACAGAGATACAGAACCAGAGAAATAAACAACAGCAACATCATTACGTGCTAGAGAGGGACTGAAATTGGGATGCGTAGCAACTGCACTGGTCTGTATTCTGGTACCACCGCTGAACAGAAGCACGGAACCGAGGACTACTGTTAGGCGCCATGCTTGTACTTGACCGTCAAACCAGCAGTGAGCTGCTGTAAGAACCCGACTGGCTGATATAAGGGATCCACCACAAACGCTGGTGGCTGGGTTACCCGCTACTGTGACGTCGCCAAGAATTCCAGCCTGTTAATTAAAAATTCTTGTTAATAATACGTACTTTACGCATCTCCTAGATTTTTGTGTATCATAACATTGACGCATAACTTAATGATTATTCTAGTTAACACTTCACTTATTTCATAACTATTATGTGTATGTCTTATGTATGATGCTATCAATATTAATAGATAATACATACTTTACGCATCTCCTAGATTTTTGTGTATCATAATTATGACGCATAATTATTTATAGATTATTCTAGTTAATACTTCATTTATTTCATAACTATTATGTGTATGTCATATGTATGATGCCATCAATATTAATACGCTGATATTATAACAAAGAAAGAAAGTAAACATATTATTATTCATTCATCCTTAGACGCCATACTCATCACTATCTACATAAGTGCCTATTACCTGACAACTCTGCATTACTGTGCTAATAGCTCTGGGGAATAACCCAAGCGATATGCTAAACACAATGCCATAGGCGAAGACAGTTTACTATTAGAAATGTACACAATGATAAAGACAAACCTGGAACGGGTATTGCCCAAGAGCAGCTGGCACACCTCCAATAATCCTTGATGCTCCTAATTTCTCAGCCTTCCGAATTCTCTCAGCTTCTGGAATTCCTATGTTCTGTATGTACCCATAAGCAGAATTCTGTTCAGAAAACTGGACATCTTCAGCGTGAACGATTGCGCCAAAAACAAAAAGTGCAACTAGGAACTTCATCGTGAGGGAAAATCCAACTAATGGCAATAATATAAACTTTTTATACCTTATAAAAAATAAGTAATTAAAGTAAGAGTAGAATTATATCGCTTAATCGCACTGATTTAAAGTAGCTATCAGTGTATTTAGCTGATAGGTTATCAACCTTTTGTAATTCATTATAGTTGTTTACGAAACTACTTAAACAATCACAGATCTTTATATTTACGACATCTTTAGCTACTTACTTAAAATTCAGCAATGACGTAATTTTGATAACAGAACATTTTACCAAATAAAAAAAAATACCAATGACAATAAAAAAAAACGTGAATTTTGCAAGTATTGCTCACGAAAGCAATGTTTATAGTTGATGGGCCGACTCTCCGCAATGCGCTTCTACAAACAATTTCAGTCTCTGCCTTGCACAGGGGACTGTCACTCAAGCGCTGGCGCGGAACAACCCAATGATATTAGCTACCCATTTAGTCCAGACCCCGACGTTGCTTACCTCTGACCCTTTTTTGCCCTATAACTAAGATGGAATGCAGAATATGGGGGGTCATACTACATTGGACAGTCGTTTTAGTCTAAAGTCAAACTCTTTAGTTATGCTGACATTGTATTCAGATTCAATTCGCATACGCTTGTGTCAGTTTGGTTATCTTCCATTTTTGGTAAAGGTTGAGGTTTATTTGTATGACAATAGAACAGAATAATTGGCTGCATTGTGATCCCTTCAACGTTGTCGGATACTATGACGAGTGTTGTTTAACATAATCATGCAAGATTTTTTGGAAAGAAATCGTGAATATTATATTTATTTAAATAGTTCATTTGTTTTAATTAAGTTCAAGATAAGTGTCTTGTTACAGGTGCATTGCAAACAGTCGACATGAACTCGAGAAATACGTTTCGGGCTGTGTCGAATTGAGATTCGATTAGTCGTAGCGAACTTGAAACGGAGTGAGTAGCGGCGGGCTCAAACATTAATCGAATTTCGGTCTTCGGCAGGCGGACGATCAAGTGTGCGTTAGTTCACATTACGAGGCCTCTCGACTCTCACTCGATACTTGCTCTCGAGTGTTCGATATACGATATCGACTCGAGATGTCTGCCACGAGTGATTGCAGGATGTCAAGAGGTCGTAACAGAGGATCACTGCAATACAATTCACTAAGGTCCACGTTAAGTACAGCACTTCATTTCAGTGCATATTGTGAGCGAGTCAGTCGGTATGAGACGAACAAATAGGTTGTTCTATTGTATATCTAACCTACACATATTACACATTCTTTAATTTTGGGCATTTGTCGGCTATTATAACTGAATTCGCGTATCTAAATAAAATATTTAACCCATATAATATCACATACGCTTATAAAAATTTATAAATTAGTTCTATTCGCAAAGTTCTGCCATTTATCACTAAAAACAGCGACAGATGTATAAATGATGTGGCACGTCACAAAACACAACGATTAAAAAGTAATCTGATTTAAATTTGGGACGAGAGTGTCCGTGTGTGCGTGCTGGTGTTGTCATTGGATAGATTATCGCAGTGCGTTAATCTGGGTTTAACAACAGTTTGCACATAACTAGCCAATCGATCTTGTTTGATTGACAGGCGAGACGGGGAACAACAACAATGTGCAAACTATTTTCTGTATCGATAATCATCGCCATTCATCGATATAATTAAGTGCATAAAATTTTCATCCCTGACAGTACTTTATTTGATAACAATGGATTGTTAAAAGGCTTAAAATTGGGTCCTCTGATTTTAGTCATGTTAATTAGTAGTGATTGGTGGCGTTGTAAAAGCATTTCTCGATCATTTTGGAATGAACAAAGCGTCCAATAATTACGTTTGACATTTTTATTGGGCTCAGGATTTTGTTTATTGTGTTTTTGGTATGTTTATAGCTTAATTTGAAGACTTTAAGTTTATTATGGATTCTAATTGACTCTATTTCATTCACCTACTTTTTTAAATATGTAATTAAAATTTTAAACATATTAAGATATATCGAAATGAAAGGAATATCAGAGTATTACTAGGTTTAAAAAAATCTCAATTGTTGTACGGTGTTTGGAATTATGCCCGGTTTATGGCAATAGGCTCTATTGAAAAGTGGGTGTTACATTGTACAGTGACACTAAGCGCCGCAATGTGCAAATTTGTCTACCCCTTCTGGGATAAAAGACGTGATGTTATGTTATGGTATATCGATATCTAACAACAATACACTAACGAAAATGACCAGAAAAAAGGATGTATACAAAAATGGTTAAAAACAAAAAGTGCTGCTTTTTCGCGGCAAAGACTTGCATAAAAGCGCAAAATACATTACCACCGTTACTTTACCGTCTCATCATATTACTCCCTAGCAAGGAAAGTGACAATAGCGTGTATTGGTAAATAAATATAATTAAAAGCGAAGTGTGTCGGGAACGTGACAGCGGTGGGACGTTAATGCGACCGGACTAAATAACGTTAGAGGACCCTTGTTACTGCAATTACGCCCGGCCCGGTTAAAATGTCGGTCCGCTTTAAAGTTTTCACCCGGATTTGACGCGTCAGACTATAACATCAATCAGGGTAGCCCGTTGATGCTTTTTGATTTTGATTGTTTTATCATCGTGCTTTTGTTTTATTGTGGCTCGCTGCAGGTTTTAGAGGTGCTCTTTTATTAATATTTAGATTATTTTGTTGCGGTGAAGCGTTTATTTAATTATTTAATTTTTTTAGAGACATCAGCAAAGCCTTCCATGCCACGTGGTGATAATTAGTCACTGTAGCTTGTACAACTCGTAGGAGACACTGCGGGCGTCAGAGATCGCGCGACGATTTCCAGCCACCGTAAGTGCAGGTCTGCAGATGGTGAGCGAGGATAGTTTGCCGCCCGACCAGAATCAGACCCGTGCGTACGGCACGTCACGTTCCGCGCGCGCTTCAAAGAGCCATCAGACATCCACAGATGGGGCTGATACCCGATACGGAGCCGTGGAAGGCCTAACAGGTTGCCGAGGCCGGCTCGAAGAGCAGAAAGTAGGAACGGTGTGGCTTTAGTCAGTAAGAGTCTGATCCCTCTCGCCTAACCAAGGGCGGGAGAAGTCATAGGAAGATTTTCCTCCCTCAAAAAAATAAATAAAGCTTAAGTACAACTGTAAGAATAACGCCCGAATACTGAAAGTCTACTCAATTTTAAGTTGTGCTTAAATATCGTGCCAACTCTGTCATTTTACAAAGAATTCGTAATGATAGAACTATAGTTAAGCTCGACTTAAAATTGAGTTACGTTTGAGTATGAGTTGACAAATTGCTGTACATGCCCTTTAAAAATAAACTAAACTAATTGCACTGTCATATTTTATAAATTCGGATATGAATGTTGCGTTGTATGAATAGTATGTAGATTGCATCTTATACCTACTTTATACATACATCAGCCAGTATCAAATGTGATAAAGGACCACAAGTGGTTAATACGCTCATTATACACTGACAATATTAAAAACCAGAAACTGAAAACCAGTACGTTTTAATCAACACAAACATATTCAAGAAGCCATAATATTTCGAAATAAATTCCAACTTTCCCATTTACAATATTAAATCTGAATCCATTAATAATGTTTAAGTAAACACCTTTAATATTGGGCTTTTCACGTGTGCTTTTATTTAAAAATATAATTCCGGACGATAGTATTTCACTGTCATTGGTCGGCGGACTATAATGCGGAATTGATGTCGCATCGGTGGATAAATACTTTATATTGACGCCGAATAAATGAGTCAATCAGTGCGTTTATTTTTTAAATGATGCTGCAATTTGTTAATTATTCATGTTTTACTATGGTATTTAATTTGGTTGTGTTAAGATATGTCACAACACAGCAGATCTGTAAAATAATTTCTTTATCTTTCTTCTTACACAATAATGCGTCCTTATAACTAGACCACTTTATTTTTACAATCATACAATACAATCCAGATTTCCTACAACAACAATTGATAAAAACCATAGAAAAATCATAATTATAAATATATACATAAAATTTTCTGAAGTCATTGGTTCTGATTGACAAACAATACAATTTGGAATTTCCATATGATTTGGAAATAAAAAAAACAAAAACATCACTGAAAATGCTTGTATTAAGTGAGTATTAAATGAATTGTATTAAGTGCTTCGTGTACAAAACCAGATCACGCAGGAAGACTAAATACCGTTTCTTGTTTTTCAAATATAGAAAAATATTTTGGCTAAAAATACAACTTACATATGGTGATATTTTGACGTAAAAGTTTTACAGGTAAGCGTTATTTATGCTAACACACCGCGCGACGTGTTCTGTCGGATTATGACCAAGACATGTTCATTTCCTGTATGTCTAGCTAGCTACGCGAAAAATATTTCAAGACATTTTTCTTTTTATTGCTAGGGTTTATAAATATTTTATGTTTCATATTTTAGGAGATGCATATTGGTGTGTTCGATCTATTTAGTGGGATTTTTCAAAAAGCAAATCAACAGTAATATTCATTATGATATAGTATAATAGAAACACAACTTGCTTTTAAGATGAATATATTGATAGAAATGTGGGATGAGAGACAGAAATGGGGTGTCATTTCGTTGACGAACTTATAAAAACAATGATCAATAATACAATTCATGTCCAGCTTAGTATTTTTCTAATAACAGATTTACACGTATTTTTTTTCAACACAATTCTTAAAAGGATTGTAACAATATAAAGCCACGCTATTCTAATAAACACGTACCACAAAATTGCACCAAACTAATCTAAAGCAACTTTAAAGCGACTAAAATAACCACAAATCGTTCTAAAATCCATGAATATATGTCGTCCAATTACGTCACATGCAAATTATCGTTATAACTAGTTGTATTCAGGCCTTCAGTGTACCATAGGTAGTAAGTGCCCCACTACCACCAACTTCCGATTTCCCGGGATGGCACGGCAACTGAATTAAATAGTTTCCCCTGAAA